AAATAACCCTGTATTATACATTTGTATTGAGTTGTATTGCGTTGTAGCTTGAATCTAGGGGCCTGGAACAGATTAGGCCGTTTCAATGTTAACTTTGCTTCTATTTACGAAATTTTCTACTTACGGATTAATTTCGTAAGTAGAGGTACCACTGTATATTTATTTCCATAATGCCCATTATGGTAACAGATGTTGTGCCTATGTCTCAGCCTATCTGCATATGAAAGGATCTGTATGTTGCGAATTGGCCACTTCATCATTGTTCTTCACTGAAGGGTCAATGTCAGAGAAAGATGGGCCACTAATTCCCAGAAGTCAGCCTGCAACAAATATCTCCAAGTACAGTGTTTTAGCTTGCTTCATGCAGGAATCAGTTTTGGCTATTCACATACATCTGGGATAGTAAAAATGGGAAGTGGAGAAAGGGGGCACATTTGAAGGACACCACTGGAGAGAGGGCTAGATCTGCCCTTTCCCTTGGTGGGTCTAGAGACCAAGAATCCATTCTATTTCCATCTCATTCCTGGGTTTTTTGTGTTGGCCACATTTGAGTGTCCTGAAAGAGGGACTGATTTGTAGATTACATGACAAAATTCTCAGAAATTGTGGTTTTTGGACTAGCTCTTTGAATGGCTTGAAATGCATTCATACACACCAAAGATATTCACCAACACACACCCTATTTTCTTAATGGTATTACTCTGCTTGCAGATGGATAAAAATATTCCAATCTTTTTCAAATGATAGAAATTACTTGGGGATTAAAGTGGTAAACTATTTCTGGGTAGGAATGCTTATCTATCTGATGCTGATCTGACTCATACAATCTTGGTATAAAGTAAATAAGTGCTATAATGTCTCCTCTCCTGGGGACGAGAAGAAGGTTTCCAACTAGGGAGGCAGTAGGACTGCTGAATGACTAGAGCATTATGTGTACTCAGAGAGAACAAGAGACTGTAGAAAACATGGAATTCATTCTCTGCACCTGTTCCAATTTTGGAAGATCTAAGGTAGATGCTGTGTTAGAAGAGGTTTTCCCCCCAGGAAGCTAGTCTGAAGAATAAAAGAGAAAGAGCCATGACAAGAAATTAAATTCTGTGCCTTATTGACAAATAAATATATATTTTTAAAAATCACCAGGTCTGGATGGTATCTACCTGAGGGTTCCTAAATAATTCAAATGTGAAATTTCCGCTCTTCTAACACAAGTATAGAAACATAGAAAGCTGTCTACTGTCAATACCAAATAGAAGTGTCTCTCCAAAATTTCAGACATAAGCCTTTCCCATCCCCACCTAAAAATGCCAGAGATTAAACCAGTTTTTTGTTTTTTTTTTTTAGTGAAAAGCATGTGGTCTGCCATGGAGGTATGACACTACACTTGGGCTCTGCACCACAGAACTGGCATGCATTCAGTCCAGTATCATTTTTTAAAAAATGATTACAAGTTGTCTATCCCCAGGTGAACTAGTGGAAAGCAAGATTAAATATAAAGTTTTCAAGCACAGCGAAGAGCAAGTCTTGCTGAAGAAACCCATTTTCTGT